CACCTATCCATAAGTCTGATAAATAATATGTTTCATGTTCTTCTAATTTTCTTGTAAAATCTCTGTTTATATCTAGGTCATGTATCCATTTTGACCTTATCTTGGTAAATGGTGTGAGATATTGGTCCCTTCCCAGTTTCTGCCTTGCTGCTTTCAAGTTGTCCAAATAATTTTTACTAAATAATGAATTCTTATCCCAAGTCTTTACACTTTTCAAATATGAGGTTATTATGTTTATTTGCTGTTGTGAATCATATGTCTAATGTATTCCATTGATCTACCTTTTTATTTCTTAGCCAGTACCAGATAGTTTTGATAATTACTGTCTTTATAATGCAGTTAAAGATCTGGTACTGCTAAATTTCCTCACTTTATACTTTTTTCATTATTTCCTTTGATATTCTTGACTTTTTGTTTTCCCAAATGAATTTTATTACTGTCTTTTTCTAATTCAGTAAAATAACTTTTTGTTCATTTAATTGGGATGGAGTTATTTCGTTCTGAGCAGGAATATTTTCTACTTCATTGGTTTTGGTCTTGGCTATGATACCCTTTGAACAATGTGGAAATCTTGCATGATTGGCCGTCCGAAAAGCTGTCTATGACTTTTACCTGAAATCAGATGGGAAAGGGAGTTTTCTCCTAGCATATCTCCTAACATAGACTATCTATGATAGTTGAGTGTGTATCTTACCTTTCCCTAGTTTAGGTATTAGAACTGATATAGCGCTTTTGTTTCTCAACTTTTGAGAATAATTTGTGGAATATCAGTACTAATTGGTTTTTTTTTTTTTGAAATTTGATAGAATTCTCCTGTGAATTCACCAGGACTAGGAGTTTTCAGTTTTGTTAGCATATAACTATGCATAATGTGCTGATTTTTTTTTCTTCTGTTTTTGGTGATATTTCACTTTGCTTATTTACTAATTTTTATTCAATTTTCTCCCCTCTTTTTAATTAGATTAGTTAAAAGTTTATCAATTTCGTTAGTCTGTTTAAAGAAACAACCATTAATTTTAGATATCATTTGTATGGAGTTTTTTGTTTTGTTTCCTATTTATCTGTTTCTTCTCTGTTGTTTTATATCTTTGTGCTTATTTTAAGCTTATTTGTTGATTTGCTAACTTTTTTCAATGAATATTCAGTTCATTATTCCTCTACTTTTCTGTGTTATTAATGTATGTTTGTAAGGATATGTTTTTTTCTTCCTCCTTAGGATTGCTTTATCTCCATCACAGAAATTATTGTATATTGATCATGATCATCATCCTTTTTTCAAATAATTATTACTTTTTAAATTTTTTCCCACTTTCCTGCTTTTTCTCCTAATTTAAACTGTATTGGTTTTGTTAGTACAAAAACTTAATTTTATATAATAAAAACTATCCATTTTAAAACCTCCCCCATGACCTCTTTCTCTCTTGTTTGGCCATGAACTCTTCCCTTATCAATTGATCTAACAGATAATTTCTTCTGCATTCCACTGATTTATTTATAGTGTCACTTTTTATATCTAAATCATGAACTTATTTGGAGCTTCTCCTGGTTTATGGTGGGAGATGTTGGTCCATGCCAGATTATTTCCAGATTATTTTCTAGCCTTCCCTGTAGTTTTTGTCAAATAGTGAGTTCTTGACCAAATAGCTAAAATCTTTGGGTATATAAAAAAATGTATTCTCATTTGCTTCTGTATATTGTGTACCTAATCTGTTCCACTGATCACCTTCTCCATTCCTTATCTAGTACCAAATTGTTTTGATGATTGCAGCTTTGTAGTATAGTTAGTGATCTCATACTTTTAGGCCATTTTCTTTTGTATTTTTTTTCATTGATACCCTTGATATTCCTGATATTCTTGATTCTGTTCTTTCCTTTTTTTTAAATCAAATTTTTCTCATGGTTTATCTATTGGATTTTTTCTTTCTTTCCTCCCAAAAAACCCAGTTCCTCATTTTATTTATTAATTCAATGGTTATTTTTACTTTCAATTTTTTTCTTCTTTGATTTTCAAGATTTCTATTTTGACTTTTAATTGGAGTTTTTTTCCTTTTGTTTTTCTGTTTTTAGCTGACTATTCAATTTGTTGATCTGCTCTCTCTTTTATAAAATAGAGTAAATAAGCCTTTCAAGATAAAAATTGGCCCTAAATAATATGTTGGCTACATCACACAAATTTTGTTTTGTTGTCATTATCTTTAATGAAATTATTATTTCTATGATGTGTTCTTTTACCCATGTATTCTTTAGATTATGTTATTTAGTTTCCAACTAATTTTTAATTGATGCTTTAAAGGTTATTTATTGATTTTATTGCATTATGGTCAGAAAACATGTATGTACTATTTCTGCTTTTCTGCAATTATTTGTGAGGTTTATATGCCCAAATAAATGGTTACTTTTTTTTGAAGCTAACATGTACAGCTGAGAAATAGGTATAATCTTTTTTCATCCCATTTATTACTCTCCAGAGGTCTGTGATATCTAAGTTTTCAAAAATTTTATTCAAAAATTTCAAAAATTAACTAATTTTTTTTGTGTATAGTTAGATTGATTTAGGTCTGACAGATTTACTGCCTCTATGGCAGACTCTTAATAGCCAGGAACCATATGTTTCTTTGGTTTTTGAAAGAAATCTCTATTCTAGCATTGAGTTTTAATGATAGCATTGAGAAGTGCTCATCCAATGAATATATCTGACCTAACTCCATTCTGTTATAAGCTCTGGTTTCTAAGCTATTTAGAAACCTTTTCCTCTCCTTCAGTAAAGACTTTATGGTTAGATATGGTACACAAAATTCACCAGAGGTTATCCATATCATTGTATCCCCTTAGCAATGAGTCTCTTAGCCCACCATCTAACAAGTCACTAGCCCTCCATTTCTTTTCCTGTTTGCTTTCCTAATGTTATATTTCAGAGCTACTTACTTGGTTTAGAGCTTCTAGTAAAACTTAGGTCATCTGTTTCATTTTCTCAGTGTGTTCTCTATTTCTGTAGGGAGAGATACATTTTCTCCTTCAGTATCAACCCTGTTCTTTTTCCCTAACTTCTTAATAAACCTTGCAAGTGTGTATTTTTAATGTTCTGCTATGGTGACACTGGATTTAAGAAAGTCAGAAATCCTCTAGTCATTGGCTTAGTATCCTTACCTTCACAACATATGGTTCTTGGAATATGTCGCATATTTGTATTAAAATACCAGTTCAGCTACTTCTGAGGTTCTACCTTATCTTTGTGGTTCCTGGGAAGATGGGTATCATGAGACACTTTTATTTTAAAATAAAGTTCCTCTTAATAATTGATCGTGTTATCGCAAGCTCAGTATAAGGGTTGGTTTCCCATCTCAGCATTCTTTAATAGAATGCTGTCTTAAGAATAGAGGGTAGAGAGCAGAATAAAATTCATAGTGAAACTTTTAAATGAGAAAGAAAAAGAAAGAGACAGAGACAGATTAAAAGGCAGAGAAGAGAATTTCTCTTCTGTTGCAGCATGGGTTTTAAATTTTAGTCCTTGCCCCCTTTGGTGGAGGCAGTAGGTGAACAGCCAGGTTGTATGATCTAACCCGGTCAAAGAAGATGCAACTACCAAGAGTTCTAGTTCCAGCCATGGTCAGCAGCTCATGAATCTAATGAAGGAAGTGGGATTTCCTGTTTCTTGTTCAGATTTCTCAGCCCTGGTCAGTGACTTATGGACCTAAGAGCAAAGAGGTTCCCTACTGCTGAAATGTGAGGTTCAGTGACCTAGCTGTGACTTTCTCCGGAGCAGACAGAGCAGTGGCAGCAGAGCTTTCTGTACCATTCTGTCTGTGGAAGTACAACAGCCAGGACTTAGTCTCAGTGTTTGTTATTGGCTTATGGAATACAGTAACTTCCAGAGTTGATTCTCAGCCTTGTCTCTCTTTACTCTTTTCCTGATCACATTCCAATGGGACACTGTGAACAGGAATCCATAAGCATTGTCAATTGTAACATGTAATGCATCCACTAAACTGATTTGCTGTTAATATGCTGAGTGACCAAAACACTAATTAGACTTACACTTCCCGATTCTAGCGATCAAACATGATTTGTCAAGAATGTACAAATGTTAGTCTCTACTTTCTATTACAATAATAGCCTTAACCCCAGTAGGAACAAACAGCTAATTTAATTTCCTCTAGTTTTCCAATAAGCATGTCTTGCAGTGGTACTCAGTGGCAAGATTACCTCTCTGCTTAGCCAGAGGCTATGTTATGTCCCTGCAAGGTGGTTGCCAGGTAAGTGAGGAAATGTCCTTCAGTCAATCAGCAGTGCCCTCATTGAATCCAGAGGATGCTTGAGTCTCTAGTACTGGGAATTCAGGATCCCAACTTAGTAGGGAGCCAAGGGTATGCTGAAGGCTGGAGATATTGGTGGCTTTCTTAGTGTTGTAGCTATGTGCATTAGCTGGTTACACCAAATTCTGCTTGGTGGTCAATGACCTGACTTGTTTACCGGTTAATTTGATTGATACCTGACAAAATAAGCTCATGACAAGGTTGTTTTAAAAATGTCCAGGCCTGCCTGTGAGGTCCCATTTCTTTAACTGTAGCTTATGAACACAGGCATGTTCTTTGCCAGCTATGCAACATATATGCTTATATTACTGGAGTAAAAACAAACACCCGAAAGCTTTACCCCAAAATGATGGTCTAACGCAAAATGAAGTCATTTGTGTCAAGGCAAAAAACCTGACTACAATCCCTGACTTCATTTCTATAGTGATTCAATGATGGATATAACTGGGGCTTTGTGATACATACCACTAAAGCTCCCAGGGCTTTTAGCATAAAACAAGGTCTGAGGTCTGAATAATCCCCAGGTCTGCTGAGAACAGAATCAGAGATATGACCACTGTATTTAATTTTCCTCTCACTTGTTTTTCTTTTTCTTTATGCCTTTTCACTTCCCTCATTCCTGCATGTATTGAATGTTAGGAGGAAAAATAGACATTGCAGATGGCAAAGCATGTCATAGTTCTGGATTGGACTCAAAGGTCAACCAGAGAATCAGTTTCTCTATCTTTTTGTCTGTGAATCTTTTAAGGTTAACATTATACCTGTACTTCTTCATCTTTAGGAGTACTCCTAGGAAGAGCTTAGCTGTTTAAGTCCTGTGCACAAATGTCCTATCACAACCACCACCATTACCTTTGAAAAGTGAGTTTTCTTCAGGTTCTCCATCTTTTTGCCTGTGAGTCCCTTAAAGTTAACATGATTTCTTCATTTGTGGGTGCTAGGATTATTCCAGTGAAGAGCTGTGTAATCTCCATTTCTGGATAAATTTCATTTTGAAAAGATCACTGTTCTTTCAGAAAGGTGAGTTTCCAGAATTGAATTTGCTAAAGAAATTTATAGTGGTTGGGGGTGGGAGCATCAGTCAGGGCAACCCTGGTCTGGTGCTTCATGATGGGCCAATGAAATGACTCCACTGCACTCCTGAGGCATCTTTATTTGCAAGTGCTCTTATGCATCTGTACCAGTAAAAAGAATGACTCACTTCTATAAAGAAAGCTGCACATTTTGGGTCACTTTTGAGCCTCTGAGAAAACTGTGAGATTAGTAATTTTCTTATCCCAATGTTGCAGGAAGAGACCAGAGGATGACACAGAATAAGCAGCTTGGTTACTTTGACAGGTCTGGTAAGTGAGTGAGTTGGGAGTTAAAATCCAGGCTTCCTGACCCTGCAGGTCAGGTTTTCACCACCATTCAATTTAGAACACTGCTTGTCAACCATCATTTTCCCTTCCTTGCAACGTATGTATTCATTCATGCCATGCTTGACTTCCCTAAGATTCATGGTCCACATAGCTTTAGAACTACAGGCCTTTTCAAAGGCCCTCTATTTGGAAGCCCCTTATGAGACAACTGAGAAAAGTGAGGCCCTCGGGTTTTCCGATGCCTCATCCACAGAATGTGAGTGAAGTACAAGTTAGACCTCTCAGATCAGCTGACCTCTGATGCAGGCCACTGGACACTGCCATGAGTGTGCCTCTTCCTTGGATGGATTTGATTTTTTTTTTTTTTATCATTTCCATTGTCTTGACTCCATTGAAAGGAGACAGCAGGAAACTAAACTGCAAATAATTGAGATGTCACCGAGCTGGGACAATGTGCAGGGCAACCCAGACAGTCTTACCATCTCTTTTGCACTAAATGCTGGAGGCTGCATTTCATTGTGGATTTTACATTCCAAGTATTATATTAACCTGGAAGATTTAAGAATTATGTTTACTATTGCACCCATTCTGCTTCCGTTTGAAAGGTAAGACTTTTCACTTCCTTTTTCTCTTGAGGAAAGTAGATGATGATTGCTTTTGGGGCTGGAATTTGGCCCAGCCTATGAACTCTATCTTAATGTGTTAAACAAATTATATTCTTGTACTCCAGACATACCAGGTCTTTTCCTTTCTGTTCATGATGAATCACAGTAACAAATGCAAGAAAAAGAACAATAGTAGTATCTCTAAATACAAAAACAGAAACAACCACCAAAAATATCTTTTTTAGAATATAGGTTATGTATGTTATCTCCTTTGATTCAACAACAGATCTTGCTCTTGGTAGTCCAATTGACAGAGGAATTAAGTGATGCTAAATGATGGATTTGGAGATATATGTACATGTATATATAATTTTTCTCTTTTTTGTATTTCCCTTATGCCATTTTATTTTCCTCAGTCCTACTTGTATTTAGGGGTGGCAAAATAAATACACATTGCCAGGGGCAAAAGTTCTTGCTGGTTTAGTTCAGATTCTGAGGCCTCCCTCAAGTGTCACTTTATCCTTCTTTTTACCTCTTAATGCCTTAAGGTTAACTTTATTTCCCTGTTGATTGGTTCTAGGATTATTCCCAGGAAGAGATAAGGAGTCTTCTTCCTGTGGACAAATATCATTTTGACTAGCTCACTGTTTCTTTTCAAAGGTGAGTTTCCAAATTTGCATTTGTTTCAGAAATTTGAATAGGTTAGATCTAGGGGCATAAGTCAGGGAAAGCCAGGGAGTTTAGCCTCCGATGGACCTTTGAAGTAGATTCCCTGCCACTGCACTCCTGACACATCTTTCCTTGGAAATGCTCATGTGCATCAATAATAAGAAAAAGAGGATCTCCCTTGTATGCAACAAGCTCTATATTTTGTGTACTTTTTGAGCTTCAGAGCAAACTATGAGATTGGTGGTTTTCCTGCTCTGATATTTTAAGTCAAAGAGCTGAGGAGGAATAAGGTCACACGACCAATCTGGTAAGTGGATGAATTGAGATGTGAAGTCCAGGTTTCTTGACCATGAAGGTCAGGATGGGGCCTCTTAACAAGTTGGGGCCCTGCTGGTCAGCCATTTGTTTTTCCTCCCCTGCCATCCTTCACTTCCCTAAATATTCAAAGTCAACATATGCAAAACTTTTGGCCTTTTCAGGTCCATTTGCTTGAAAGCCCCTCATCAGATGAGTGAGGGAAGTGAGGCCCTCAGAGTTTTCAAAGGCCTAATCAATAGAATCTGTCTTACATATGCATATTTTCTTGGCTGACTCCAGATACAACCTACTAGACACGACTTTAAGGATGCCTCTACCTCAGTCATATTTTATTCTTCCTTGTTGCTTCTGTTCTTCTGGCTCCATCAAATGGAGTCAACAGGACAAAAAAATTGTGAGTAGTTGGAATACCAGACAGTTGGGACGATGTTTGGGACCACCCCTGCAGTCAGTCTTGCCATCTCTTTTCCTCTAAGTCCCCAAGGCTTAACATAATTTCTGATCTTTTCTTTCTCAGATGGAGATACTTAGAAGATCTGAGAATTGGTCCTCTTGTTCAGAAATGTTCAATCATCCATCTTTCCCTCTAAATATAAACCTCTTTGATTCCTCTTTAGTTTAAGAAAATTGGATGATGGTTGCCCTTGGGGGTGGCATTTGGCCTTGCCTGTGAGGTCTGCCATAATATGATGGACAGATTCCATTGTCCTGCTCACTCCAGGTGTGCCAGGTCTTTTCCTTTCTGTTCAGGATTAATCACAATAGCAACAACAACAAAAACAGCCCTAATAAGAATTTCAACTGCAAAATCAGAAATGAGCACAAATGTCATATGTAGTGTGTGTATGGTATCTCACTTGACCCAGTAGCAGACCTCTTATTCTGGTGCTCTTTTTAGTCCAATTGATGGAGAAATTAAGTGATGCTAAGACATGGGAAGTTACTCAGGCCAGGAGGACACACTTCATATGTGGCTGAGGTAGGATTGCTCTTCAGGCCTTCCTGGCTCCAAGTTCAAGGCTATAAGATATTTGGCTGTCTGACATCATTTTTGTTCCCATACTTCATTTCCTTTCACCATACCATCATCTTTTACTTGTTTGGGTATTCATCTTCCCCAAGACCCCAGGTCTTGATCTGTTGACACCAAAGTGATGGAAATGGGAGTATATTTCCCCCCTCCTTTTTGTATTTTCCTTATGCCATTTCATTTTCCTTTATTCTATAGATATTCAAGGGTGGCAAAATCAGTGGACATTTCCTAGGGCAAAATTTCTTACAGGCTAGGATCAAGTTCTGGGGCCTCCCCACAAAGTCAGATTCTCCTTCTTTTGGCCTTTCAATGCCTTAAGATTAACTTCATTTCTCTGTTGTTTGGTTCTAGGATTATTCCCAGAAACAGCTGAGCAACCTTCCCCTTATGGACAAATTTCATTTTGACAAGCTCACTCTTTCTTTTCAAAGGTGAGGCTCTACAATTTGTGTGGCTTTTGAGTCTCAGAAAAAATTGTGAGATTAGTCGTTCTGTTGCTCTGATTTTGCAGGTCAGAGAGCTGAGAAGTGAGGTCACATGACTTGGCCTTCCTGACATGACTGGTAGGTCAAGAGGGGGCCTCTTACCAATTGGGTCCCCTACTGGTCAGCCATTAATTCCCCTCCCTCCTCATATAAATTTATTCTTGCCATACTTTACTACCCTAAAAATTCAGTGTCCACATGGCTAGAACTACAGAATTTGACAGCTCCTTAACAGACAAGTGAGGAGAGTGAGGCCCTCGGGCTTGGCTAAGGCCTAATTGAATGAATGTTAGGGACATGGGCATTGGACCCTTGGTTTGGCAGAGCCCACATGGAGGCCACAGGACACAGCCACTCTTCCGTGTTAGTCACATTTCATTTTTGCTTGTAATTTCTGTTCTCCTGGTTCCATCAAATGGAGTCAGCAGAACAAGAAATCGCATGTAGTTGGGATGCCAGACAGCTTGAAGATGTGCAGGGCTACCCATGGAGTCAGTCTTGCCATCTCTTTTCCTCTAAGTCCCCAAGGGTTAACATCATTTCTTTATTTTTCCTTCCTGAGATGGAGATACCTGGAAGATGTGAGAAGTGACCCTCTGGTTCACAAATGTCCTGCTGCAACTATCCCTCTTCCCTCTGATATGTAAGTCTCTTAGATTCCTTTATCTTTTGCCAAAGATGGTTGATGGTTGCCCTTGGGGTTGACATTGGACCTTGCCTGAGGGATCTGCTTTAATGTGATGCACATATATCTATTCTTCTGTCCACTCCAGGTATGCCAGATGTTTTTCTTTCTGTTCAGGATTAATCACAATAACAACAGCAACAAAAACAGCCATAATAATAACTTCACCTACCAAATCAGAAACAAGGACAGCAAATATTGAAGGAGTACAGTATGTGTATATTATCTCCTTTGAGCCAACGACAGACCTCTGATTCCAATGCTCTTGGTGGTCCAATTGTCGGAGGAATTAAATGATGCTAAGTGACAGACTTGGGCTTTTTATATTTCTGTTTTAATATTTCATTTTCCTTCATCCTACACGCATTCAAAGATGGCAAAGAAATACACATTGCTAGCAGAAAAAGTTCCTGCAGGCTCAGTTCAGACTCTGGGGCCTCCCCCAGATGTCACTTTGGCCTTTCTTTTGACTCTAAGTACCTTAAGGTTAACCTTATTTCTCTCTTAATTGGTTCTAGAATTATTCTCAGTAAGAGCTGAGTCTTTCTCCTGTGGACTAGTTTCATTTTGACAAGCTCACTGTTTCTTTTCAAAGGTGAGTTTCCAGATTTGCATTTGTTTCAGGAATTTAAAATAGGTTGGGGCTCAGGGCTTAAGTCAGGGAAAGCCAGGGAATTTACCTCTTGATGGACCTTTGAAATAGTTCCTCTTGTGCTCACTTCGGCAGCACATATACTAAAATTGGAAGGATACAGAGAAGATTAGCATGGCCCCTGCGCAAGGATGACACGCAAATTCGTGAAGCATTCCATATTTTTTATGGAGATGCTTGCCTTTTCAATGAGGGTGGGTGGGGAGGGAGGAAGGGAGAAAATTTGTAACCCAAAGTTTTAAAAACATATGTTAAAAATTAAAAAAAGAAAAAAAAAAGAAATAGTTCCCCTGTACTTTTGACATCTTTGCTTGAAAATGCTCATGGGCATCTCTAATAACAACAACAACAAAAAAAGAACTCCCTTGTGTGCAACAAGCTCTACAATTTGTATGGCTTTTGAGCCTCAGAATAAATTGTGAGATTAGTGGTTTTCTTGCTCTGATTTTGCAGGTCAGAGAGCTGAGGATGAGTGATGTCATGTCACTTGGCCCTCATAACATGTCTGGTAAGTAGATGAGTTGAGATGTGAAGTCCAGGCTTCCTGACCCTGCAGTTCAGGATGGGTCCTCTTAGCAATTTGGGCACCTGCAGTTGTTTTGCCCCCTCTGCCACATATGTATCCATTCTTGCCGTCCTACATGATCCTAAAAGTTCAGGGTCCACATAGCTAGAACTCTAGGCCTTTTCAGGGACCCTTTACTTGAAAGCTCTTTGTCAGATGAGTGAGGGTCACAGAGTTTTCAAAGACCTAATCCAAAGAACATGTCTGACATATATACTAGGTCCCCTGCTTGGGTGACCCTAGATGTAGGCCAGTGAACACTGCCTTGAGTGTGCCTCTACCTGGGTCTTACTTTATTCTTTATTTTCATTTCCATTCTCCTGGCTCCATCCAGTGGAATCTGCTGGACAATAAGTCACAAGTAGTTGAGATGCCAGACAGCTGGAACATGTGCAAGGCCACCCATGCAGCCAGTCTTTCTAACTCTTCTCCTCTTAGTCTCAGTCAGTCTTACCATACTTTTTTTGTTTGTTTGTTTTTGTTTTTCGCAAGGCAATGGGGTTTAGTGACTTGCCCAGGGTCACACAGCTAGCAAGTGTTATGTGTCTGAGGCCAGATTTGAACTCAGGGCCTCCTGAATCCAAGGTTGGTGCTCCATCCACTGTGCCACCTAGCTGCCCCCCACCATATCTTTTCCTCTTACCTCAAGTGGCATCACATCCTTCCACATTTCTTATTCCTAGGATTGTAACATCTTGGAAGATTTGAAGAATCACCCTCTTCTTTACAATTTCCTCATGTAAACATCCCTCTTCCTTTTGAAACGTATATCTCTTCAGTTCCTTTTTCTTTTGGGAGAATTGGATTAAGGTTACTACTGGGGTTGGTGTTTGGCTTTGACTAAACGCTCTGCCATAATATAATGGATGGATTTGATTCTTGCACTCTAGGTGTGCCAGGACTGTTCCTTTCTGTTCAAGATTAATCACAAGGACAACAGTAATGAAAACCACAATGATCTCTTCAACTACAAAGACAGAAACAACTACAACAAATATCATTTATGGAGTACAGTGTGTGTATGTTATCTCCTCTGACCCAGCAGCAGACTTCTGATTTTGATGCTCTTTGTAGTCCAATTGGCAGAAGAATTAAGTGATACTAAGACATGAAATGGGACTTTGCCAGGATGACATATCTCATAGGTGACTTAGGTGGGATACCTGGTTGGGCTTTCCTACTTCCATGTCCAAGTCTCTAAGACTTTTTGCTATTGACCATCATTTTTCCTCCTGTGGTTCATTTTGTTCTTGGTTTTTGAAAAAAATTATTATTTAATTTAGACTTGTTTTTAAAAAAGTTTTTGCTCTGAATTCTCTCTGTTACTTTTTCCCTATCTGAATGGGATGTCCCAGTGAAGACTCCTCAGTGTAATTAAGGTTTGGGATAAGGCTGAGTGGGATGAGGGTCCCGTGAAAACTTCTTAGAAGAATGAATAGAAATTATATTAGACTCAAGGCAGGCATAGCAGCCTGACAGGCCTAAGTTTCAATTTACTAGAAATCACCTGATTTACAGGAATTCAACCCCAAGTACCCCCCCATGCCATTGTTAAGTAGTTAAAGTTTGCCAAGCCTGAAACTCCTGAAGAAGCCCCCCCTGTATTTTGTTGATGCACCTGTTGCTATATTTTGGTCATGGTGACCTGGCTATACAGTATAGTGTCTAGCTTGACTGCACATCTTTAATTGCTTCTTTGGTATTACTTCAGCAAACTAAGAAATATAGATATGTATATTGTGTTCATTGTTTTGTTTTCAGTTTCTATGGACATTGAGAATGTGAGCCAAATATTGGCCAGTTGGTGGGAGGGAGGAATTTGCCCATTAGGGTATATAATCAGGTCCTTTGCTTCTGTCTGTGTCTCCTTTCGTCAGAGTATTCTGGTGGAGGGACACCCAAATCTTGAGGTTTGAAATAATTATAATAATAAATTAACTTCCTGTTTCTCCTTGGATACCTCTGTGTGTTCTTTAATTTGAGTGGCATCCCACACAGTTTGGTGCATTGGCCGGGAAATAAGCCTCTTAGGAGTCGACCCTCTCTAAGAGCCGAGAGCAGGCACCCACCAGCTATTTTTCTTGGTGGCTCTCGGACTTGGGGATTGGTCTCCCTCCTGAGTGGCAGAAGTCCCAAGGAGAGGAATTCCGAGTAACAGAAACTTAAAGTAAAAGAAAATAAAGAAAGAGCTCTGATAGTGGTAGTGTGCTGCAAGTGTAAAACTCTGGCCGGTGGAGAAAGCAGTCATGTAAGTTATAGGCATATAACCTGAGGTCCTGCAAAACTTGTCTGTGGGATAGATCCCTGGAGAAATCCCTGGAGAGACGCTGACAAGTGAGTGCTCAGGTGACTGAGGGAACCTGAGGACGTGCCAGAACTTGTGGGTCTTTGGGATAGGATGGATTATGCCTGGAGAGACACCAACAGGTGGGCGCTCAGGTGACTGAGGGATGGGGGCAATCCCTCTGAGAGGGCCGAAGTTGAGGTCCCGAGGGCCTAGGGTGAGGTCCTGAAAAATTCGTAGGTCCCTGACCTGGGAGAGTCTGGCGACAGACTTTCAAATAAATTTTAACCCAGCACCACAGAGCAGAAGAATGGTATACCAAGAAAATAGTCCCTTAGGGAATAAGCTTTAGAATTGGAATGAACCACCAAAATATAAAGGGAAAGATAAAAGAAAATGGTTAAATGTGATTTAATGATTTGAGAATATAACAGCAATTTGTTATATGTCCAATTTCTGTGTTTGTGTCTCTGTGTGTGTGGTATGATTGATTGTATGTGTACTCTGATCCTTTGCAGTCAGGCAGCCTCTTTGTTTCTCCTTCCCCTTCCTCCCTGTTAACAGCAGCCTTAGAGGGGTGGATGAGAAAAAGAGAGAAAATACTTTATAGGGTGAATAGAGGTTTTGAAAGTAAAAAGGTTTGGAACTCTTGAAGAGTTGTTGGAAAATATTTTCTTCCTCTCTCCTGCATTCCAGGTTTGGCCAAATTGTTGAATGTAGAGAGAGAGAGAAAGAAAAGGAGAGAAAAGAAAAAAAAATCAGATCAAAGGGAGTCAGGCTAAATAAGTTTTTAACCATTCCCTGCCTTACCTAAAAGAGAAAAAGGTTTTGTGTACCAGAGCACAAACAAAAGGTAATTTATGGGCAGCTGGGAGCTGTGCCGAGTGCTTGTTTGGGTTCGGCAGCTGCCAAGAAAATGAAATGTAATGTTTAGAATTTATTACACTGTAAATTGTGAAAAATGTAAGGATCTGCAGATTGGTAAACTTTTGTATTGTTATGTCAAGTGGCTTTTTATAATTTGAATGTTATTAAAGTAAATTGAAAGAAACTAAAAGAAAATAGTGGGAAAATTTTTAAAAAAGTGAATTGTTCAGAATATATAGAAAAGTTATAAAAGCCGTTTGGCAAGAGAAGGGGAGGGAGACATTCAATTATCTCCCTTCATAAATGTAAAAAGAAAGCTGTGTAGTGTTCAATTAATTATTAAGCTCCAGAGGTGTTTACCTGAAGGGAAAGCAAAAAGAAGTAGTTAGAACACTGGCCCAGTACATTTTAAACTGACTTGGTTACAATAGGTGATTCCAAACTGTTTGTAAAATTTTGGTAAGAAAATGTGGATATGAATGGGGAACATGAATTTGTGGATAATATCTCTTTATAAAGGGCCAAGGGTACAGAGCACATATTGTTATCTGACATTAAGAACTATGTGGCCCCAAGAAAGTTTTATGTATTTTAGTTTACTGTTTAGTGAGGGGATGGTGGTAGCCCAGAGATATTATTAATTGGTTTTGGTTCTAAAGTATGGTATTGTTGTATTCCTTTATTGTATAATTTGGTAGGCAACTGTATCATCTGTGTTGTCAGAAAAGCAATTATTTTTATATAAGCTAAATGTTGTTAGGTTCTTTCTTAAGGCTAATAACTGGGTTTGTTGGGGGATGGGTGGTATGAGTCAGGCTCTTAAAGCATGGTCGTGGGGAAGTCTAGGCTTTGAAGTACCCTGATTGGGAATAGCATTGAGGTCTAATCAGGAATTTGGATGTAGTCTGGGGCTATCAGACCAGTAAAAGACAATGATGGGTGAGCATAGGGAAAAAAAGAAAAAAGAAAGAGAAGCCAGTCTGTAGGGGTAGGAGTGGCCCCAGGAGAATGCTGGACCTGGTGAAAGGGTCTAGGAAGAAAGAAAGATTTTTTTTATTGGGTCTCTTTTCAACTGTATTAGTTACGTTGCTGGAAGGGCAATTTATTTTATAATCTGGAATGTTAAATTAATTGTGAAATTAGAGAAAAGAGAAAAAGGAATGAATTTGACTGTTGGGGCATTCTGATTTTTTAGTTAAAATTGTTTTGTTATCATTTATGAAATTTGTGAGATTGTTAACTAAGTTAGTTGGGGTTATTGTTTTAATGCTAAAACCTAAGATGGTTAATTAATTATCGTATGTGGAAAAGAAAGGGATTGTGGCACCAATATCAGCCCTTTCTGGGGTACATAGCAATTCCCCTTATTTTGTAAACTTGCCAAGATCCCTGGGGCAAGGTCATCAAGGACAATAGATAGAAATGATTTCTAATGATTGGCTTTTGTACAGGACAAGTTTAAATTTGAGAAGAAAAGATGTAAAGTGAGATTTCTTATATATGTGAGTCCTGGTAAGTTTTTATTGCTTATTGCAATCCTATGAGAGCAAAATTAACTGTATCTGGCTTTAAGCTGTGATTAGTGAGACTTGCTGTTTGAGGTAAAAGGCTCTTGGGACTATAACTAATTTTGTTTTGAGTTTGAATTTGGATATAGTTGTCTGCATTAAGATCAGTATCCAAGAGAAATGCCAGTGAATGTGATTCTGAACTGGTAACAGGTGGAGGTAAATGTGACTAATTTGGAAAAAGGCCGAGGGGACAATCTTAGTCTCAATCTAGGATGGGATCCTCCTGGCTTAATTTCCCCATTGTGTTTCTTTGGAAAGGAATGTTTGCCACCTGAGTATTCCTGAGTCTGGCTATGAGGAAAAACAGATACTGCATGATTGGAGAATTGTGACTCTAGCTGAATTAAACAAAGCTAAGGATGTTTTATCCTGTCATATTTGATATGTCACCTGTCTGTGCTCTTTTTCCTTCTATACTAAGTTTCTATGATCAGAGCAAGTAGTCAGTATAAGATATGAGCTTTTTTTGTGTGTTATCTTACTGGGAAATCTAATAATATTTTTATCTAGAACTAGAACATGTGCAGAAATTTATGCAAACTGCTTAAGACTCACCTTGAGATGTTCCCTTTGTTTAAAAGGATTCTGAGAGCAGTAGTATTTTTTTTTGTAGTCAGTCTCTTACTGTTACCAATATGAGACTTTATTACAACACCTTTTTGACCAAGGAATTTTGTGATATTTAGGGATTCTGTGATAACTAGGAATTCAGTTTCTTGATAATACCTTGGAATTTGTGTTACTCAAGGACTTTTGCATCAACTTAGTAAGCTTTTATGAACAAGAGTGGAAATGCATGCAAGCTATGGAGATCATTTCAGAGATGTTCCTTAGGCAATGTGAGATTATAGTCATATTTTAAACTGATTGTTGGAACTTGCTATTCAAAGACTTAATGGGACTAATGATTGACTGTTTCTGAGTCTAACTCCAGGTATAAATATCAAGGAAGGCTGTCTGAGCAACTGATCCTGGAGTTAGTTTCTATAATTAGGTTTTGTAAGTACAGTAACAAATTTATTAAAATAATAGATAATGGAACATCTTGGGTTACTATAGAACTGGGACTAGTATTCCAGTGTGTGTGTTCCTTTTTAAGTTAGGGTCCTTTAATTCTTGATAATGGTATGGAGATAATTAGGGGCTTGTGAGAATGTTATTTTTGTTATTTGGATAATATCATATTGGTCTAAAGTTTTGTTACAATTAATAATGTTAAAAGAAGAATGGCTTGTGGTATATTTTGTAAATGCCATCAAAGAAACAAGGCATGACTAAAAGTTTAAGATTTTATATGTACTATGTTAAACATTGATATGTATGTATTGGAGCCTAGTAATTCCTTAGTGAAATCTCATCCCCCTGGTAAGGAAATTAATAACGGATTAATGTAAAGTATAAGATACTGGGTTCTGATGTGAATTTCTTAAATATGACAATTGGCTGTTATTTCAATTTTGAGTTTGTAAAAATGATCAGGGTTATAAGGATTAGAAATGGTAATTTAAAATTGGGTTAAGATCACTTTTGTAGGAGAATGGACAGAAAGCTGCTTCCTACAAGAAGACAAGAAGAAGAAGATGCTGAGATGCTGTGCTGGAGATGGCTGGAACAAATACCAAGGACAAGGGGACTTCACTGATGGTGTTCTCTGCCAGACAGCTGTATAAGAAAAGACTTTTTTT